ATTCTACATGTATAATAAATCCGAGATAAAAAGTTTTTTTTATTTAAATTTATATTTTTTAATATCTAAAAATAGACCGGCTTTCTTTAATTTTTATAATATTTTTTATATATATTTATAATATTTTTTAATATCTTTATTTATATAGATTAATATATTATTAATATAGACCAAGCAGAATTTATTAAAATATTTATATAGTATTTAATTAATATATTTTTAAAAAAATTTTAAAATATTTATTAGTTTAAAAAATATTACTAATTATTTATATAGCCTATACTGTATATAAAAAACTATTATCTATTTTTAGTCTTTTATAATACAGATTTTATAAAAAGTAGATAAAATATCTAGTTTAGTAAACTATTTAGTTTTTCTAATCTAATTTAAAAATTTATAGCTTAGAAAAAGTAGATAGCAGTTTTTCTTTATAATTATATCAAATATTTAGTAGTTTATACAGAATCTTAAATCTTTTTCTAGTTTTTATATAAAAAATATTTAAACTACTATTAAAAAATAGCTAATTTATATATAATTTTTTTAGTAGCTTAGTTAATTTAAATTATAGAATTATTACTTCTTTTTAAAATATATTATAAAATAGGTCCTACGGAACTTTTAGTTTTTTTTTATTCTAGTATATAAACTTAATTTTATAGTTAATATTCTTTCTCTAGTATAATAGTAGTTTTTTTATATTTTCTAATTAAAAAAAAGATAGAAAATCTTAATAATATTCAAAAAGTATTATATATAGATTAACTGTTTTTTTATTTAAAATACTTTCTATATATTAATAAGAAAAATAGTAAATATTTTTATATTCTTTTTAGATTTTTTCTGTAGATAATCTTTAAGTTTTATTTTTATAATTAGCTAAAATTTTAGATTTATATATTATAAATATAATAGATTTCTTAGTCTTATTCTAATTATATATAAAAATAATTATTCTTAGTCTGATTTTAGTATTTTATTATAATAAAATAGCCAGCTTTTTTCTAGAATTAAGTTATATCTAAAATTATCAGATATTATATAGAAGTATACTTTTTTTTATATAGAATTTTATATTTATTTTTACTTATATAATAGAGTAGATTAGTATTTTATTATTTAAGATTTTTTATACCGGCTTTAAATTAATACTAATAATTAATAGATTATTTATTTGAGTAAATATTTTATTTATAATATTATAAATCAGACATCCCGAATCAATAAGAATATAAATAATTATAATAAAATCTAAAATAGCCTCTATTAAAAAAAGATATATAATTATATATTTTTTTAAAAATTTTTTTTATTTTTTTTTAGTTTTGTCCAGAGATTTTTATTTAAATATATAATTTTATACTAGATTTTTTCTTTTTTAAAATTAAAATTCTTATTTAAAAAAACATATTATTTCTTTTATTACCGAAAAATAAATATAGCAGCGGCTATACTTATTAATTATATAATAAATTTAAAAAATATTAGTAAATAAGATATTTATTCTATTTATAATAAAAACAGTAATTTACTTTATATTTTTTTTATATTTTACTAAATATTATTTATTAGATCTATTTCTAAAAATTATTAATAGTTATATAAAAGTAATATCTTTTTTATTATACAGCAGCTATTTAAGTAGGTTTTTATTTTATTAGTTTAGAATTTAATTTATATCACGCTAGTATAGTTTTAATATAGCTTTTTTTAAAAAAAATATTCTATTTAGATTATAATTTATATAATATAATTAGTTGTAGTAGTCTTTATATATAAAGTTTTAAAAAATTCTAACTAATTTTTTAATAAATTTTTAGTTTATTATAGTATTTAGTATAATTTTTTTTATTTATCTAAATAATTATATTTTTCTGCTTGTAATAAAGCTTTATTAAAATTATTTAAAAAACTTTTTTAGTTTTATTCTTTTTTATTTTATTATATTTATTTAGTTTAGAGCTTTTTATTGTATATTAAAATTTCTAAATATTTTATTTATTATTATAAGTATATTTTTAAGTTATATTAACTTAGTATTTTAAAATTTAATTTAAAAAAATATCTGCTATACTACCTGTCCGCGAAGTTAATTATAAATATAAAAAACTTATTTCAGTCTGGTAAGATAGTAATTTCTATTAATTATAAATTTTATATATATATTTAATTTAAATAGTTTATAATTATATTTATTTTTTTTATTAAAGAATTCTATATTAAGATACCGAAAATAGAATTTATAATTTAGTTTATATAATTATTATAAAAGATTTCTTTCTAATTTATTATAAATAACAGAAGTTATATTATAATTCTATAATTTATTTATCTACTTTTTAAAAACTAGTTTTTATTTTACTATTTCTGTATAAAGACCGATTAGTTTTTATAAAAAAAGTTATATATTATTATATATAGCTATAAATATTATAATTAGCTGCAGTTTTTTCTAATTTATTTATTTTATTATTTTAATAATTTTTTTAGTTTTATTTTATTTTATTTATATATCTAGTCAGACTCTGTTTAGAATCTTTTTAAGCTATTTCTAATATTATAAAATAAATAGATTATACTAACTAAAATATACTTTAAAATAAGAAGAAATAGCTGGAGAACTATTTTATCTATTTATATAAAGTTTTTTATATATATACTAAGCTAGCGCTAGTTTAGTATGTAGCATGCGAGGTCTTAGATATCAACTGGTGCCTGAAGCTGAGCTCTATATCAGGGCCTTGGTCCCATAACATACAAAATATAATATAGACGGAGATAAATTAACAATAAAAAAAGTTTCAAAATTAGTATAGTTAGTAGTTTTAATATTAAAATACTTAATATTAATTTAGTCAATTTAAAACTAGAAATATTAGTTTCAAAATTAACTAAATTAATATAGTAGCTAATATAAAAAAGATATTAGTTTAGAAAATAGTATCAGCTTTAGTTTCTTTAAAAAATATTAAATACAGTAAAAATACTAATATAAATAAGTATTTAAAAAATATTACTATAAATTTAAATAGAAACTAATTAGTAGGATTAGAATTTAATTATATTTATAATTTATAATAAAACTAACTGCAGTAGGAATTCGCTCTAAAAAACTAATTATTAAATATTATAACTAAAAAATTAAAAAAAATAAAGATAAGTAATAGTAGAAGATATAATAATAGATAATAAATAAAAATTAAAAAATAATAATTAATAAGCAATTAATAAAAAAAGACTAAAAAAATAAAAAAATTAAGAAAAAGCTGGTGGAGCTGCAGATATTTATTTAAGTAAAATTAGTTTTAAATATTTTAATTAATTTAAGTATACTTTAATTAATAATTATTTAGTTAAGTTAATTTTTAGATAAATTAAGAATTCTAGTAATAAATATACTACTATTATTAGTTATAGTAAAGCCGACTGGAGCGAGATTTATAATAGATTATATATACTTATTATTTACTATCTATACAATTATATAATATACTAAAAATCGCCCAAGGCGGCGGGAGGGAAGCGAGCGGTTCATGGTGGCAGAAATCAGGGCTGCAATAATATTAATTTTTAATTTAACTAATTAATAAAAATAATAGTTTAACTAGCTAATTTTTTATAATAGTTTTTAAGATTCTTACTAGCTACTAGATTAGATTATTTTTTGATTTATAGATAAAATATAACTTAAAAAGCTATAAACAGCATTAAAAATAAATAAAAAATAAAAATATAAATTATATATATAATGTTAAAAAAAGCAGCTAATTAATTAAAATTAGAAGATTAAACAGATAAAACAGATAAAACAGATAAGACAAATAGAAGAGGTAGAATAGGTGTATTAGATCTGCACTGTGATATCTCCAGCCCATCGAATTAATAGAATTGAATATTTTTGTATGATTTTAACTATAAGAAAGAGCCTGTTCTCTCGTTCTACTGAGTTTCTTAATAATCAAGATATTCTAGCACAGACATTAATGTCTGTATAGAGGCAGTTTTGAGGGTGTGGTGGTGGTTGATGGGGTGACCGACTTGCTTACATGGCCGACTCGCTTATCAGTTATGTTACTGATTGTGTTACATGTTACAGTGGGCTACTTGTGCCAATTTACAATAACTCTAATTCTGCTGATAATACTATATATTAGCTTTTTAAAGCCCGCTTGGTCTCAGTAGAGTCATATAACTATAAGTTATATTAGGATTATTAGGGCTATTAGAATCTTAGAATATTTTAAACTAAAGATATTATTATATTAAGATTCTTTATTAGGAAATATTATATATAAATTTGATATTAGATCAGTCAGAAGAAAAAACAGTCTGTTAGACAGTAAGACTATAATACTATAGAAATACTATAGAAAACGGGGTTATTGCAAATTGGCACGAGTAGCTTGCCGTACTTCTGCTGTATCTACTATTTATCTGCCCCAATGCGCTACCTGAATATCTACCCAAGATGTGGGGAAGCAAGGCCATGGAGTGAACCTTTTCTTATATGTCCGCACACCTAGTCTCTCCAGCGGCCTGGATTATCTCATACTCAACTTCCATTAATTTCTCATCGACGGCAATATTATAGACTTGATTAAGCCTAACCACTAGAGTACTACTCCACGTTCGATATGTCCTTGACCACACTAATTTGACTACGAGGTACCCCCTCCATTCGAAGGCATAAGGACCCATGATACCATGACCTTCAACGATTCTACGCTATCTCGACCAGCGGTTTCCAACAACGCTGTGACAATGCCTCAGCAACCCTTGGCGTCTCAGAGAAAACCCAGGAAATTCCAACCCGAGCTTGTCGAAACCTCATCACGCAGCTCTAAGGAAGTTCGAACAAAAAGCCAAGCTACACAAGCCCAACTAGATGGCCGCAGGCGCTCAGATGGTTAGTACATGGAGCTGAATCCAGGGAGGACCCTATAGTACTTTATGATAACACAGAAGGACAAGATGCCGTACCCATTGATGCTATGCAAATGCCAAGGTGCGCAGGAATCGAACCAGAAGCGGATTCACACAAACCAAGCGAACAAAGATTAGAAGTTACGGCTAGGGTCGGCAGGCACTCCTCAATTGGGCCTACTGAAATAAAACCCAGTGAATTCGACGACGCGAAACATATAGGGCCTAGAAGATTCGCACCACAGCTCATGGAGACAGGCACACGCTCTTTTCGTCGAATGAAAACCTCTCATACAATTATTCAAGAAAGGAGCAACTCATTGGTACTGGGAGAGATTCCAACCCTCGTCACCGCGGTCGGCAATGATGCACATAATCACAGGCACGTGGCCCATGAATCTTGTTTCTCGTACATGAACTTGTGCCGGCGGCAACAGACGAGGAGGCACTCGTTCCGGATCCCTGACCTTCCTGCAATTCCTTCTAGTTGTAGCGAGACATCTGATACGTCTGATAATCCGTCGGCACCTGCATCGCCTGATAGAATGGAGAAAGACAACTCTGCCGATATTAAAACCCGAGGGAGCTCCGAGGACGAAAATACAGAATACCTTTCCGCCATCGCAGCTATCACAGTAGAGAAACAGCTTAAGGAACAAGCCCTAGCAGCTTTTCCAAACGAACAAGATCATCAGCCCGTCGATCACTTTGCTATTGATCGAGAAGAGGAAGAGTTCCTGAATAATGAACGTGCAACCTCTCACGTGGGAATCCCACCTCAATACACCTATCGACGAACATCATCTGCCGATCTTTCATGGGAGCTAGACTACATGCGCAGACATAAAGAAGAAGCCGAGATGAGTGATCGTGCAATGGCTCGAACCAGAGGGTCACCATTCTTATCACCGACTGATGTTACCTCGCTTGGATTCAGGAGGCCAGCGAGACACCATGATAATCGAGTTCGGGGTCGTGGTCTTGAACCAACCAGGAGCAATGCTACCCCGCCGATGCTCGGAGAGGATCTTATCTTTCCCCAAAGCCTGTCTCCAGAGTCAACAGTATGCGAGGGTAGCAATATTCAACACAACGTCACACGCAATAGACTTTGTTTTTTCTCTGGACTTTGGTATGGAAATCCTCATGCCAACAATAGGTCCAACAGTGGCGGTCTTTGGAAAGGCACTTGCAAAACTTCAAGTCCGCAAGAAATACAATCACCGCGTTGTTCAATTGCAGACCCAATTGCACAGACATACACATCTTCCACCCTTCAGCCGACCGATGTAAATCGCCCAACGGATAATAACCAGTTACTCCTGCCTACGCCTCACTATAAAATACAAGAAGACTTCCGTGATGAGTCTCTCGAAACGGAATTGCAAGACGGTTTGGTTACTCAGATATACAATTATCTTTCGCTTGGTTATCCCTGTGTTGCCCGATATTTTGACCACGAACTCAGCAGGATCTCTGGTATATCGGTGGCAGATTTGAGACAAGATGATCTGAACACAGATGCAAGGGGCCATGTCGGTGTTTCCGACAGTCCTTCGATAGGGGACGACATCTCAACACGTGCTTGCATGCGCTGGAAGGCTCTACAACTGTACATATTCGATTGGGCACGCGAGCGGCATCGTGTCGGATTTAATGACATGGATGGAGAACATGGAGCATGGGGCGTATGTGAACGCAAAGGAAGTTGGGCTGTTTGAAGCAATGCAGCAAATTTATACCAGGGCCCTCTGACCCGGTACGCACGACACAGACCTGAGCCTTCCGCTTATGTAACGGGACACGAACTGAGCTTAGGCTGATCTCCCGACTATGGTTGGTTGTGTGGCACCTTGTTCAGTTTGCGCCGCATTGAAGGGGTTCGTGACACGCATTTACTTAAAGCTTCATACACATGCAAAAGATGGGTAGAAGAAATTTTTTTTATATTTTGAAGGTAGGGCCGGAGCTCTATTGGTGGTTCCCATGTAGCCTATCAGACCGTGCCTTGGATGAGCGAGGGCTTTGATGCGACACGTTCATGCAGAACTTATTTTCCATCCGCGAATGGCCCCCGAAAGTCTTCTTTGGTTTGAAGTGGAAGTTTGTTGTCTGGAAAGCATGATTGCCGAGCCATGCGGTAGCGTAGAATGACCATTGTCGGCAACTTGCTTGTTGTTCTTCATTGGGCCGTGTCTGTAAGGAGGTGTTAACATGCTACCATACTCTCGTTCGTTGAGTATATTATTTACCTTGTGCTGGACCAATGTCACTTTCAGTAAGTTTGGCCGGAGGCACGAGGCTTGATCTAGGCGTTGCTTCATCGGCCAATCTGGCGCAATATCGATCGATTCTAGAAAGAGTCGGTGGAAATTCATGTATAGAAGATGGCGAGGAATGAGCCACAAGATTCAAACCTACAGTGCAAGTTCTCCAAGCAATGTTTCATGCCTAAATTGTTCCCGAATGTCAGGAACATTGCTCTTGGCGACATTGTTTCCCACGACCCCTGGTGCGTAGCAGTTGCTGCCGAGCCATCTCTTCTTCAAAGACAGTTCGAAACCACTTTGCTCGACGGAATTTTTCGCAAGCTCGCACATATCGACAGCACTGAATTTATATATCTGCGCGGCTACTGAGTATTCTTCGATCAGTGGTTCTTTGGTGAAAGCAAACTGCAAGGGGTCATCAGTAGACAAGGAGACATTGAGTCCCCTTTTGAAGAAATTGGCGCATGGATTCTTATCGTATGTGAGAAACAGTGCGTTGTTACTGAGAGGTGACATCGCGATCCCTATCTGATCAAGGTAGAAGAGATACTGAAGCAGAGGGACTTTCCTCAATAGTATTCCATGGCTAATACTATGGCAGCAGAGAAATCCGACAGCAAGATGATCCGGATCACCCGCTTCACCACAGTGTGGCCTTAACACGAATGTATTATAACCAAGCCCCTTGCGCCAAGTATTCAGAGACGCGATGTTGGCGAACATAAAGTAAATCCAGTAGCTGTATGGTGGATTCTGCTTCGTGTTCCACTCTCTCGGGATGGGATACTTTCGATATAGTCGTCGCTCGGCCTTACTTTCGTCATCGACACTATCGAATCCAACAACCCGCTGGAGGAAGATATGCAGTTTAGGGTGCGAAGCTGGGTCCTTGGTAACTTCGAATAGCGGCTTGAAGACATTCGTTATGACCTGCTCAAAATTTTGCATCATTCCACTTGATTTATAGACGTCGTAGAGACGAGGGACTTGTATTAGCCAGCGAACATTGGGGGAAAACAATTTGTTATCCACGACCCAAGCAGCGAGCTTGTCCCATTCTTCGATTGATCTCCCGTATATAGAGATGCGCCACTCCACCATCTGATACTTGCTTGATTCTAGATCGGAGATCACTTCTTTCGTTATTTCAGCTAAATAGCGTCCTTTGATGAAATTGTCCGTCTTCAAGAAGATTTCGCGTAAGCGAGATTCGCCCACAGGATTGTATTTGAGGTTGAATTTGTCGAACCGGTGGAATGAATCGGTATGTGCCTAATGGAGATGTTAGCGGTGGAGCAAAAATCATGGCAAAGTGAGTTTCCTACGTACGTGCATGTCCAGAGTGTCAATACTGAGGTCATAAGCTGTGAGATTAATGCTTTCAAATACTTCCCTTAGTGTCAAATGCTTCCCGTCCCTGAACAATACAACCTCATCTGGGGACTTTTTCATCTTGCTCTTGATGAAACGAAGGAGATGCTTCTGATTCATGCATGCGGAGTGGTGCACATGTGTATCGACTTTTCGAACATTATAGAAATCCCTATGAGGCACTTTCTTGCTGTCGGCGATTTCTTGGTACTCATTTAGAAGTGTATACAGTTGAAACTTCCCTTCTAGGTAGGAGAGTCGTTTGAAAGCAAAGCTTTTCGCAGGTCCGTCCGTCGATATATCAGTGACTGCATCAAGGTCCATGTAGAAATCTCTTAAGGAAGGGATTTTGACCACTGGTCGTCGCGAATGCCGGGCAGAATCGCCCTCATAAACCTGATATACACTATTCTCGTCCAACTCGAAGACCCAGTCAGATTCTCCAGGAAGGGGCAGGCAGTCAGCCATATCAAAATCCTCGCCCACATCTTCACCCATCTTTCTTCTTTTGTGGTCAGCACGTGGCCGATCGTGAATCTTCCCAAGGTCCTTGTCATCATCCCAGGCCGGTTCTGGGGGTGGAGGGTAGATTTGCCAATCCGGGCCATCCTTTGGATTGTTTTCAGGCCCTTGCAACGATAGATGCATATATCTGGCCCTTCGATCAAGCAGGCTCTTGATTTTACGACAAATGACATCCAAATCTGAGGCTATCACATTGGCGCCTGGCGAAATATGCATGATGCCTTGGACTGCGCCGAGCCCATCTCCCGGATTTCCTAGACTGCTTGTTCCTGACAAGGTGTGCTGCTCGCTGAAAGACTGAAAAATAGAAGGTGCTTCGGAAGCTCTCTGCTTTTCTGAGTCCTCATTTTCTGGGCTACCGAAAGGTATTTCGGTAGTGTCTGTGTTTGAAGCTGTTTGCCGAACAATAGGCGATGGCTGTTTTGCTATTGCGGGAATCGTAGATTGCATGGCATCTCTGGGAATATTCGCCGTGTCAACAAGATCCCTTTGGGTCAGAGGAGTCGGTACACAGGTAGTAGTTGGTGCAGCTCCCTTGGAGAGTTGATCGCCGTCGCCAACGTTTCGAGTGGCGAGCTGATGGTGCTGGTAAAAAAGCTTTGCTTCAGTATGGCTCATGGACTTCTCAAAGGCGTAGTCATATGTTGGCGTCTTGAGTTGTATGTCCCTTGGAAGAACATCTTCGGGTGTTTGTGGTGCGGACTCTGTAAGGTCTGGATTATTTAACCCAGCATTGGCAGTAACATGGAGGGGAAAGCCAGAGCCTGTCCCAAGAACGTGAGACAAAGTCTCCTCGTTTGATGAACCTAGAGGTGCGTTGGCATTAGAAATGGGCCTGGCAGCTTTATCTGAACTTGGAGAAGTCATTCTCGATCTTGTAGCCCACTTTGTTGTACACAGTTGTGCTGCTACAATCTTATAGAACTGGCTGTAATCAAGTTGCCCGATTAGTGAAATACTCTCCAGTTGGAATGGGCATCCAAGAACAAAAATTTATAGCCAGCCCGAAAGTGCTCACCGCACCTGCTCAGTACGTAAATCAGTACCTAATTATTATTAAGCAGACACCCGTGGGATTAGCCGACAAGTAATCAGTAAGGTATGCCATTGTTATAGCTTTGGCACATACAAAGAATACTACTCGGTATCAAGGCAGGTACTTGTAAACAGTTTCTTTGATACATATACTTGTTGTTGTTGATTTTGCTATATGGTGTTTATCAGTCCAAGATTACATGTAAGTGACCCTGTGAATAGGATGCTTTTTTCTGATATACTGGTACAGAGATTTCAACTAAAAGTCATATTTTAGTTCTAGACTGTACTTAGTATGACTTTAGAAGAAGACCCAATAAGAATCATAAATAAATAGTCTTATCCCTCCGCCTTTTTAATGTGCAACTTACCAATGGTGGTTAGTACCATCGTGGCGGGTGAGTGCGCACCGCCTCATTTAGGTTCTAAGTAGTCTAATAAAGGAGTAAGCTGTGACGTACTGCACCCACTTGCTGGTGGTTACCCCGTCTTCTGTACTAGCCCATGAAAACAATTAACACATATCCTCTAGGCAGAAACCCCAAACATCCGCAACACTAACATCAACCGTAAGTCAAGCCCTGCCTCATTTGCTCCTTCTATAAATAAAATAAGGAACAATCCCCTGAATCCCTTCTCCTACAAATCTGAACAATGACTTTCATCCAGTTCTGCCACTCAACCTCATCTAACAGCTTCACTCTAGTTTTCCTGTCACAATCTGTGCTCGTGCTCCAGATATTTGATCCCAGCAGATATGGCTACTCTTAACTTGTCCACCAACGGGCCTTCAATAGCAAAGAGCTACCAGGCCGTGGTCGACTCGGCTCTGCCCGGTTCGAACTCCCCTACTCACGGACAATGGGTTGTCTTCTCCGTTTCGACACCTCTTATCAATGCCTTCCAGCAAGACTCTGGCAATAAGGAAAGTGTCTTGAAGGTTCAAAATACCGGAGGTCTGTCAATTACCCCCTGGTCTGTCGAATTTAACTTCGTTAACCCTTGTTTTTAAAGCTGGCGAGCTGGTGGATCTGATTGAAGAGTTCTCTGAGGGCAAAATTCAGTTTGCTTTCGTAAAGATTCTCGATCCAAACTCGGGGCTCCCTAAGAATGTGCTTATTGCCTGGTGTGGGGAGGGCGTACCTGAGCGTACTAAGGGATATTTCACCAGTCATCTCGCCGCTGTTTCCAAATTCCTGCATGTCAGTTTGCGCTATGCCCGATATGCATACCCCGTGCCCCATTCTGATACATCATAGGGTTATCACGTGCAAATAACCGCTCGTTCTGATCAGGACCTGACCGCGGAGGGTATAATACAGAAAGTGGGGGATGCGTCCGGAGCGAAGTATACCCCTGGGCCAGATCGGCCTACATCTACTGCAAAGCCCCCGGTATCAACTAAACCTGTCTTTAACCCCACACGGACCGGTGGCACTGCTGCGAACAATCCAGCAGTTGTTGCATCACGAGTGGCTGCGACAATGAGCGGGGATGATGGCTGGGGTCCTGACGCGCCC